TTATTGTGATGTTTTTATCAGCTGTTTGGACTCTCATTCTGACGGCACCCATTCACTGCAGAGGATCCACTGCAAGTGATGTAATGCTAAATTTCTCCAAATCTGTTCTGATGAAGAAACAAACATATCCACATCTTGGATGGCCTGAGGGTGAGTACATTTTCAGCAAATTTTCATTTTTGGTTTCATTTTTTCCAATCGAAAGTGCTATTACTTTCTGTAGGTTAGTTTCTGTGGGATAGTTTATCCAAAAAGGCAAAGTCTGTCATCATTTACTTATGTCTTTCTAAACCTGTCTTTCTAAGACAAGAAATAACTGAGCACATTTCAATAATAAAACTAAATTCATTGTTTCACAGATTAAATAATTTAGGAGATTTTACACGATTTATTCAGATAGAAATAAACCCTTAAAAACTACTCAAAAATATTATGTGTAATATTCTTACCACATTTTTTAGTAGACAGCACATAACATTTTTACAGTGTGTTTAACTGGTCCTGTACATATCTGTTCACATTTCAGGAACTGTGTTTAAGAGTTTTATGATCCATGTCTCAGCCTTGAACATAATGCACAGCAGGCAGTCAAGGATTATTAAGGCAGAATCCATTGCTTTTCACAACAGATCTGGGGATAATAGTAATTTTGACTGAGTGTTTTTGGTGTAATAAGTGGTGCTTGGCAACCATTGGTTTTATCATTGCTCATACTTATGGTTAGGGAAAAACCCTTATCTCTAACTATTACACTTCGGTACGTAACTGATCCTGAACCATAGCAGACATTAATGACAAGTCATGTGATTTGTTGCTATTATTTTGCCAAACCAGCTAGAAAACAACCACCAACATTCCCTCGCAGAATACCTTCAGAGATGCCCTAAAACCATTCAAAACACCATAGTAACCACATCCATGTCAAAAAATGTCTACTTATTGACTCAATCAATACTCAGTTTCTTTAAAAGTTTTCATACATGAAATGATCTCATTCATATGTTCTCACCCTGTGTTCAGAAGAGAAACAAAGGTCAACATGTCTTTAACGTTTGGGCGTTGGAAGTGTGAAAGCTACTTGACGGACTGCCTCCATGTGCTCTAGTTTCTGTTCAGAGACTAACACTTACCACACCCTCTAACAACTTTTCAAAAGTCACAACTTTTGACAAATAAAAAGTTCATTGTCTCTGGCTTTAGAAATGAAGATCACTTGTCAAATTAAATCAGAAAGAACACTTTGCAAACTCTGATAGCTTTAACACACTTATTATTTGTAAATGAACATGGAGGTCTAACCACATCACCTTCGACACCATCAAAAGAAACAGGGCTAAAGAAAGAAAGAAAGAAAGAAATCTAAAAACAAAAGAAATAAACAGAACTGCAAAAATAATGATGAACTCCCTCCCTAGATGATTTGCTGGGCTTCTAGCTGTCAAAATAATTACAAAGTTGAAAGGATCCACAGAAAGACACTCTGAAAAGACAGAATGGTGAGAACTTACCGCCATGAGCAAGGCTGATCAGCAAGAGACCGATCAACGGCTGAAACAGAAGCATTGTCAAGCAGGTGATAAGCAATGACGACGGGAATGCCTGAGATGGATGATAGATGCAGAGTCTCCTTTGCTGTTGTTTGTGAAATGGATTTATATTCTCTTAATTGTGATAAGCACGATATGAAGTGTCTGAGAACAGGAAATCCTGTCTAAACTCACAGTAAGAAAGAGGAAAACCACATGTGTGAGGCAATAAAAAAATGATGCAAAACGAGTACAAAATATTAATAAATTTTTTTTTTTAATGGATGCCGTTGTAGTTTAAAGAAATAAAGTAAAAACAATATTTTAAACAACACTCAAAATACCATAATTTTTTTTATTTCACACTTGAAAAACAAAATACAATCAAATGTAAATATTCCAAAATACAATAATGCATCTGAATAAAAATATTCAAATCATGTCTTTGTTCAAACAATGTTAATATAACTTCAAGACTAGATCTTTAACAAAATAACCTGAAGCTCCACAAAAACATTCAGTGCTCATTAATTGTCACATCTTTGTGTAGAAAAGGTGGCAAAACATGGCACTCAATCTAAGTACTCTCAACTCTCTGGGTGCTCTGCTGATTTGCTTCTGTTGCTGTTAAGCAGGTTTGATCATCATGGCCACTTTCTTTAGGGAGTACGAGCCTCCGTGGAGCTCTGCCCAGTAAACACCATCCTGGAATCGACTTCTGTAATGGCCTCCTCTATACCACACCCCATTCAAGTTGGAGTGGGCACACATGTGGTACCACCAGCCGCCCTTCTGGTAATGAGCACAGTTACCTATGGAGGACAAACAACAGATGGCTTTAAAAAAAACTTTGTTTTTAATGACAGAAATTATGTGAAATACAAAAAATAGATTGAGCACCTGAATAAGCATCCTTATCGCGGTCCAGAGTGGTGAACGCTTTATTGTTGTGCCATGAAAGTGAGTCTCCTGCGTTGCCTTGATAACTGCCTAATCGTAGACGATACCAGTCACTCTCTGGTTCCACCTGAAAGCTGTCGTACTCTGCAAACGTCTGTCGTCCTTGCCAGTCTTCCATGGCTACTCGCAGCTTGTAGGTGGCCTGAGAGGTGAGCCAGTACAGGTGCTCCAAACCCAGCCAGTATTCTCCATCCAGATTCCCAAAGCCTTGCTGTATATAGGCAATAGTTATGTCATTAATTAAAGAAATTTCTTTTTTTGCATTAAACTCTGCTTTTTATTATTCATTAGGGTGCTCATGAGTGCCCCCCATGGACCCTATTTTGCAGCTTATGTGGCCCACAATGCCTGTGTCATTTGTGAAGGGCCATAGACTAAACCTGGACAGACAACATTGCTACCCATGGTTATAGGTGTGAGTTCAAAGATGGAATACACTGCATGACTAAACAGATTACCTGAACCGATTTTAAAACATTGAGTATCATATACTTGCCAACTTTGTAAATGGTAACAGAGGAGAAATCTTGGCACAAGTCATGTAGTGTATTCTCGCCTCTAGTGGTTGGTATTTTCCAATGACACTTTCTACACAATACACAAGTATTGACACTGATGCCGTCTTTATGAGTGGGTCATTGATTCATCAATTCAAACGATTCAATCAAACACACTGATTCATTCAGAAACCAAACAAACGACTGTCTGTATAAGTGATTCATTGCATTATTCACTCAAACGATTTGTTCAAACAAACTGATTCATTCAGGAACTAGATAATTGACTGTCCTTATGAGTGAGTCATTGAATTATCCACTCAAACGATTTGTTCAAACCAGTGTTAATTTTGACAGCAAATTTTGATTTAGTTTTAGTCATAGTCTTTTGACTAAAATGCCATTTAATTTTAGTCATATTTTAGTCATCTGAATTGTTTTTAGTTTTAGTCAACTAAATATCAAGATTTTAGTCGACTAAATCTATAGTAAATTTAGTCAGCTCAAATCTAATGGGTTTAGTTACAGTGCATTTATTGAGCATTTCTCTAAAATTTCCAAACTCATTATATAGGTTTGATATTAAGGTTTTATCATGATAGACACTGATTTAACTGCGGTGACACACAACATGCCTTTATGTTAAAATTAAATAAAACCACTTCTCATAAAGAACAAGAACATGGTCTTCTTTTTAATGAAATACCAATGGTTATATAGGCTAATTATGCATTCTTTATAGCAACTTGTTTACCATATTCTTCGTTCTTTCAAGCAGACATATTTATTTCTATAAATAAATTTAGGTTAATCTTTAGGGCTACTAAAGTTTATCAGTCAAGAGCAGTGAGTGATTTCTGTCCATCTGTTGTTGCTTGATTAACATCAATGACTCGGACAATAGCAACTAAATTAGGCTGCTGTCCCTTTAAAACCGAATGCACAGCTGCAATGGATGCAACGTACTGATACACGTTCTCCCTAATGTTTACGTTCACTTAAGATGTAATCAACTGTGTTTACGTGAATACTTGTCAAAACGGACAATTCGACATCATTTTGTGTTTAATTCTCCGTTCATGCGACACGAGAGAATACTTGTGTGCTGTGAGACGTGCTTCTGTGTGTGTATGCTTCAGTGTCTGCGCTCAGAAAATCAGACCGAACTGAGTTCTGTCTTGTGTCATCAGATTTATCCATATGTCTGCTCTTCTCTTACTCACACATATTGACATTTTTGAACGTTTTATGCGATGTGCAGCAAGTGTATGTTAGCTTATGTCCCGCCGGTTCATATGTACGCATCTAACCTCCGAACCACGCAGCAGATTCCTTCTGATTCAATGAATATCTTCCCAAATCGTCCCTGTCTAACATTTTCGTCTCGTTTTTATTTGTTGACGAAAATGTCAATAGATTTACGTCATAGTTTTTGTCATTCAAAAAGAGTTTTAGTTCGTTATCGTCTCATTGTCGTCGGTGAAAAAAATGTCGTTGATGAAAATTATGATGAAAATTATTCGTCAACGAAATTAACACTGGTTCAAACACACTGATTCACTCAGGAACTAGATAATTGACTGTCCCTATGAGCGAGTCATTGAATTATTCACTCAACCGATTTGTTCAAACATACTGATTCATTCAGGAACTAGATAATTGACTGTCCCTATGAGTGAGTCATTGAATTATTCACTCAAACGATTTGTTCAAACACACTGATTCATTCAGGAACTAGTGTTGTCAAACGATTAATCATGTTTTTGTTTATATAGTTTATGTGTGTGTATACTGTGTACTGTATACATTGTGGCTGCATCCAAATAGACACACTACTCTACTATATATTAGGCAAAAGACAGTATGTGAAATGAGTAGTAGGCCTATGTCGGAATTAATAGTAAAGAAAAAAAAGAAACAACTGATGCTGGTTGGTCACATGACAATGACAACATGTCAGTGTAGTACAGATTACATTCATAATATAAAGTACATACTTTTTAGCTGTCACAAAGTACAAAGTACTCTTACTAAGAGATGTGCAATGTTTTTTCTAAGTTGGATTTGTTTAGAACTCGTTGCTTTGGCGGAAATGTTACGCAAAGTTCACTTAGCACAGATGCTACGTAGACTTATTTACAGGCCTACTATATCAACTTTACCACATAAGTAATGTTTTGTTTCGTGTACCTTGTACTGTTCCCAGGTCCTGAAGAAGTTGACAGAGCCATCCTGTCTCCTCTGGATAACGGTCCAGCCACCCTGAGCTCTGCTCTGGTCACACCAGGCCTGCAGAAGTGTGTTAGTATTGCGAGGTCGCAGCAGGTAGATGCCGCTTGTCTTCTCTCCGGACTCCAGCACATGATGACAGTCATTCCACGGCCCTTTAAAAGAGACAGTATACTATCCAGTACATTGTCATGTCCCTAATACAGTTTTCTTTAAGGTGGCAATCAATTCAAGTGAACAGGAATTGAATTTTTAACTCATTTAATTACACTGTTCTTTGGTTTTGGTTTGATTGGATATTATGGCACAAACATTTAACATAAAAAATATTCCTGGTGTTTCTGCATTGATTTCATTCTCTAATCAAAATGTTTTGAACAAAACATGTTTTCTTGAGAATATTGTTTTAATTATACCATTTTATTTTCTCTTCATTGTCTTTTGTATTAAATGACAAAAGCCAATGAATAAATGACTCTATAATGAACAGATAATGTGGAGGAGCTGGATGGATGGTAAGGAAGGGCTGCGGTTCTGTTGGTTTAGAAAGCAGCAAGGTCATGATCTGTATACTGTATACAACCATCTCTCAGCCTTTACTTATCAGTTCAACATGGAGGAATTCACACTCCTACAAACCAGCAGAAGAATTTGACCTACTGCACTCACTGGCACCTTCCATACATCTGTACCTAGATACAGACTAAAACTAAAAAAAATGGTTTGCATTGTTAGATTGGAAAAAGAACATTATCTGATTTATTAAAGAAGTAAACAAACAAACAAAAAAACATACAAATATCAACATATGAACCACTGTATTCACATGTTGGTATCTGCAAACAATTAAAAAAAATACATGTTATTTTATTTTATTTGGATATTTCTAAACTTTTTTAATGTTATAAAATTATTTTACAATTCATTTAAATTCACTCTGTAAATGCTTTTCTTTTAAATGAACAGTTCACCCAAAAATGAAAAAACTACTGAAAATGTACTCACCAACATTATCTGATTTATTAAAGAAATAAACAAACAAAAAAAAACATACAAATATCAACATATGAACCACTGTATTCACATGTTGGTATCTGCAAACAATTAAAAAAAATACATGTTATTTTATTTTATTTGGATATTTCTAAACTTTTTTAATGTTATAAAATTATTTTACAATTCATTTAAATTCACTCTGTAAATGCTTTTCTTTTAAATGAACAGTTCACCCAAAAATGAAAAAACTACTGAAAATGTACTCACCATCAAGAGTCAAGCCACCTAAGATATACAATAGATGTGTGTGTTTGTTCACTGGAGAAAGAAATATTTAATGGATAGAGGACTCACATTTTAGCCATGAAGCCATAGTTTGAAGTTAAAAATGTCTTAATGGATTTATTATAAACTTCTCAAGACATTAATTGATGGACTTGAGTTGTGTGGATTACTAGTGGATTATTGTGATGTTTTTATCATCTGTTTGGACTCTCATTCTGACGGCACCCATTCACTGCAGAGTATCCACTGGTGAGCAAGTGATGTAATGCTGAATTTCTCTAGAGCTGTTCTGATGAAGAAACAATCTTGGACGGCCTGAGTGTATTTTTAGCAATTTTTCATTTTTGGGTGAACTGTTCCTTTAAATACAAAGATTTTTTTTCTACACAAATATCTAACTCGAAACCCTTCTTCAATCGTAAATGTCAGCATGAGTGTGCTTTAAAGCAGTTTAGTGGCTGCCGTAACAGTGGCTGGAATTTAGGGTTGTTAAATGGAGTGGACGTGT